ATTTTTGAGGTAAGCTTTAATTTGATTGTTTCGAGGCTAGACTATATATAAACTTTTCCCAAAATAAAAATTTCTTTGGTTAAGCCCAATACTTTGCTTGCAAATTTTCTCTTGCTTTGCTAAAATTGAAAGAAAAATAATGAAACCATCCCGTCTCTCAAGGTTCGCGAGTATCTCACAACAAACGGATAAGGTGAGAATAACTACGTATCCCTTCTTTTGTGTTTCTTACTATCTCACTCACACATGACCGTTTTCCTTCCTTTTTTTCTTTCTTTCTTTTTTTATTTTTATTTATTATTGCTTTTTATTTTTTTATTTTCCTCTAGTAGCCCAATAATTTGGGAAAATTTTTTTTCTTTCTTTCTTTTTTTATTTTTATTTATTATTGCTTTTTATTTTTTTATTTTCCTCTAGTAGCCCAATAATTTGGGAAAATTGTTTCGTGCAGGTTGGACTGCCTTTCTACAATATGCGGTCCTAAGGTATAAAGCATCCATCTTAAAGATGGATGCAAATAGGTGGCCCATCTAAAAACAATTGAAACTAATGGTCCAAATATTTTTTTAATAAAATTATTATTTTTAATTTTTAAAATTTATTTATTTTTTCATATTCGTGACCTCCATGTTAAAGATTACATGTGTCAAAAAATTCATCTCAAAAATAGATTTTTAAGATGTGACTCATTTCTACAGGTACTCATAAAAACCCTGTCCATAATCTAGAGCCCTGGATTTGTCTCAATGGCTTCATTGAGCAGTTATAGTACACAATAGTCCAAGAACAGTCGAGGGATCGTCACACACTTCTGAACTTTTGAATTATTATTTTTTTAGTCCCTCTAGAAGGAAAGTGAAAAAGGTGATTTTTTTTTACCGAAAATCCAAAATATCTTATTTTAACCCACATTTCCCCCTCTCTCTAAGTTGGTTTGAGAAAATGTATTGGATAGACACAATTTCAATATAAGAACGTCGGACATGTTTTGTGACAGATCGGCATAATTTTAATATCATAAGCTAGCACATTTTTTGTCAAGCCTACGCTTTTTTTAAAAGCCACATACCAGACCAACACTTTTTTTTAGAAGCCAATCCAACACATTTTTGTGTTGGACTAGAACATTTTAGGCATTATGTTTTAGAAATGTAGGTTAAAATGGGGTGGCATTTTGGTAAAAAAAAATTAACTATTTTATCTAGAGAGAGGTGCAAGAAAAAATCAGTATTGGGTTAATATTATGGTATTAAAGGATTGGGAAGGGGTCAATTAAAAAAATACAAATTGGGGGTATCTATTTTTTTTTTTTTTTTGAGGAAGCATCTTTCACATGTTTTTAGACCAACCCCTTGGGTCACATATGTAAATTTTCCTCAATCTAAACCGTCCATCGATAACGTGAAGATAAAGTAAAAATAAAGGCCAAACATGTCAACTCGTTGTGAT